ACTAAGGACCTTAAATGTATTTTTTCAAAAATACGGGCACAAAGTTTGAAGCTCATGGATACAGCTTCTAATTTTTGTTATTTTTTATAGATCTTAAAAAATGAATGCGTTTTCTTTTTATTTTGTATACTCTGTAAAAAATAATTTATGAATAAAAAAGATAATTTTAAAATAGAGTCAAAACTGCTAATCAGTGACTTAGAAATTTTTAATTACTTATAAATAAATAAATAATTTTTTAATTACTCAAATTTTGATAGTACATTTAAAGAGTTAAAAATTGCTTAATTTCTCTCAAAAATATTTGATTTTTCTTTAAAAGTTACTCTTTCTAGAATAGTTCGTCTTATTTTAAAAAATAAAAAATGCTTCATAACAAAAAATACTTTTACTTATTCCTAAGTTGCTTGTAACTTTTAAAACAAGAAATCTTCTTTTCCCATCTTCTGATATATAAAAAACGAGAGATTTGAAGACTTGGACCAAGCAAAGGGCGCTGGAGGAATAATAGTCAATGAGAATGGGTTGAGCTAGTCATCAATATATTTGCTTCTCAATTCTATTTATATCATTTTTTCTTCTATATTTTCCTCTCTAAACATCTCTTCTTTTCACTGGTTTCATCTCAAAGATTTTAAGTTTTCTCGAAATTCTGAAGAATTCCTTTACTGTTATTTCTGCGGGTTTTCCATCAAAATTGTGGTGAAGAAAAATGGCTGTAAGTTTAAGTTATTCATTTTTGCTTACCTGATATTTGCTTTATATTTCTGCTTTAAGATGTTATGTTTCAAAGCGACAAAACTGCAGTGTTGGGCAAGAAAGGAAGACTCTAAAATCTTGTAGAAAGCCTGTAGTTTTCTTGTGCTTTGAATGTAAATTTTTTCTTGATTTTTGGGCAAAAGTATAAACTTCATTTGTTAGCAGGAGAAAGGGAAAATAGTAAATAATAAATAGTATCGCGACCATCCATTTGAGTGCGTGTGCATTATACAATCCGTGTTTGGTTCAGTTACAAAAGTTGATTTAAATTTAACTCAGTCAACAATTCATTATAATTACACTTTTCATAACCATACAACGTTTCAACCACGCTCCCTATCAATTTTTATCAAAATCTATTAAAAATCTGATCTTTATCTAAACCAAACAAGGACTAACATTCAGAAATTACAATTCTTGGGATGGTGAAGCTTGCAGGGATATAGGCTGTTTGGTTTGTGCCTGTGACTTTGTTAAACTTTTATAGTAGAGGTAGTTCAAGACGTTGTTGGGATTAAGTTTCGGTGTCACTTAATTTTGAAAAATGCAATTGTTAGGGTTTGATGACATGTTAAAGTTATATAACTGGGGTTAGGTTTCTGTTTTAACTGGTTTGTGCCTGTGACTATGTTAAGCTTTTAGTAGACGTGGTTCAACATGGCATTGGGATCAAGTTCCTCTTCCACTTAATTCTGAAAAATTGTGAAATC